AAGAGCTTACGACATTCTGAACAGATTTTACAATACTAAGGGAGTTCGAAGACTCCGAGCTTTCCCCAGTAGCCTTCACCACAACAGAAGCACGATTCTGTCTCTCTGCAATGTAAGAAAATTATGCACCTAATATGAGACAACAATGCAGCCAAGGTATGGAATATGTGCATGTCAAATTGCATTTGATATGACACTCAGACACATAATCATCAACCCCAAAAAATTCTGATAACTTAAACCTGGTGTTTCGGATTCAATTGTTTACTTCAATCAATTCCCTACAGAGTTTCTATTCTAAATTGTTGGGAAGTTCCACTAAAATTACTTCTGTTGACCTAATTTTTTCTTCTTCTTCTTCTTCTTCTTCTATAAATTTCATTACAGAAATTGATATCTTATATTGCATTAGCTAGCTTATCTGAGTTTTCCAATCCCTTTAAATCTTATAGTCAAATACCATAATTCAACAAATCCTTCCTCCATGTAACATGGAAACAGAGAACTTTGACCAGATTGCCCCAATTTTAAACTAAACTAGCTGATTTTCAACTTGACACTTCACTGAAAACAACCAAACAGACACCCTCAACATAAAATTGATTATTATTTAAACTCAGTTCATCAAATAGAATAACTTTTTTTAAAGAAAATAAAATAACAAACAAATAAAGCAGAAACTCTCTCAAATAAAACAGAGTAGTTTAACTACAACTCAAATTTCAAAGAAAGAGCAGCTTCGGTATCTCTGAGGAGGCTCACCTCTAATGGAAGAAACTGGGAGTTTTGGAAGAGCTCTGAAGAAGGTATTATTTCCACCATGGGCGGCCAATAGTAGTGGAGGCAAGCTTGCAATAATGGACGCCATGATACCTGAAGAAAACTCCAACAAAATTTGCGCAAATAAGAAAAGAAAAACTAAAAATTCAGAGAAATGGATTTCCCCTTTGAAGTCCGAAAGTATCAGGTGACTGAAAACAAGACCAAAAGCTTCTGTAACTTATGAATAAGATTGATAGTGCTCTAGGCACCGCTCAATTTTTAAACTTTTTTTTTTTCTTAAAAAATTTATGGAAGGCACAACTGCTTCATTAATAAATAGACAAATGTGTAAAACAATAGTTTATTAAAATACAAATAATAATAAAATAAGAAGGAAATAAGAATCTATTTCCAACAATAACTCTTTGTAAATGAATTTTTATTAATCAAGAAATCTATTTACACGTATTTCCCTTTCCTTTTTATTTTCAGTTTCAAGAAATCAAGAAATCAAGATAAATGATCATTTTACAAATCTTATTCACATATAATCAATTTGGGACTTGAAATTACCTAATTGCCCTCCATATAAAACCATATCTATTGACCCTTTATTGTTGCAACTCATTTAATGTGAAATAATGTTGTAGTTTCTACAGTCTTGTTGCCTCGTGGTTTAATCAATTCAGGGAATTTGTGCTTTCTCAATGCAATGCTAAAGGCTCTTCTATCCTGTTCTCCTTTTGTTCGGCTTCTACCGGAATTGAGAACTCGCAAAGTGCCTAAGGTCTCTATCTGTAGCAATGGGGCTGGACCAGTCAAAATTGGTGCACATCCTATATTAGATAACTCTGTGGAGGGAGATGAGATTGTTTAAGGGGGAGCATAGGGAAACTTAGAGAGAAGCTTTCTCTGTTTTTAACTATTGACCATGTGAAATATAAACTTGCGGGAAACTCCAGGGAACTTAAGCTCCGGTCCTATCAAAGTTTGTGGGATAGGGATGGCCAGTCATTAGCTTAATGTCCTACCACTTAGTTTGACATCTTGATCTTGATCTTGTTTTTTCTTTCTTTTTTCCTGCAGAGGAAAGACGAACTTTTTTTAGAGAAGGGTGGGTGACTATCAAAAAGCAAGATGGTAGAAAGAATTTCATCTTCAAAATGGACGCAGACTTACAGTCATCAATTTGTTGCAACTTCCTCCAGCATTGTACAGAAATGCTGGATTTGGAATCAAAATTTTGTTACTCTTCTTTGAGCCAGCAATTTGTATATTGTATTTCAAGGGATATATATAATGCCATAGTCTGACTGAAGAAGTATTAATTTATGCCGAGCCGTCCTTAGCTTGGGGTGGTTATCATTATTAGTATAGAATTTTGTACCTATAATTTAAAATTCCATTATAATTCTCAATCTCATCATTGTGTTTGCAAAATGATGCATGTAATGACCCAAACCTAAAATCAGTATTTAATTATTAATTTATTGGAGGAAAAGACTAAAATGCCCTTAGAATTTTTATTAGGTCAAAGGTTGACTTTTTGACCAAGAAGGAAATTAGGGATTTCAATTTTACCGTTGCGTAGAGCGCGACGAAACGAGTCCGTAGACACGTAGTAGACTCGAATCAGAATTATAACGAAGAAAATACGGTCAAAATACACTCAAGGGCAAAAAGGTAATTTTGGAAAATGAGATTTTTAAAACCCTCAGTTTCTCTCTCTCTCTCTCTCTCTCTCTCTCTCTCTCTCTCTCTCTCTCCCCGCGCACCCCCCCCCCCCCCCCCCCTCCCCCCACACGCGCTCCCC